AGCGATCCTCCTGCCTCAGCCTCCCGAGTAGCTGGGACTACAGGCATGCGCCACCATGCCCGGCTAATTTTTTCTATATATTTTTAGTTGTCCGGCCAATTTCTTTCTATTTTTAGTAGAGACGGGGTCTCACTCTTGCTCAGGCTGGTTTCTAACTCCTGAGCTCAAACGATCCTCTTGCCTTGGCCTCCCCAGAGTGCTAGGATTACAGGCATGAGCCACCGTGCTTGGCCTCATTTACTTATTTACTGGGTTCATTTTCTGTCTCTTCCAGAAAGTAAAGAATTTTTGTCGGTTTTGTTCTCTGCAATGTCTCCAGCACCTAGAACAGTGCCTGGAACACAGTAGGTGCTCAATACATGCTGGTTGAAGGAGTAAGTGAATGACTGATCTTATTTCATCCTTATAACCACCTGAGACCCAGACAGCACCTGTTTAGCTCCACAGCCCGAGGACCACGGGGCTCGGGGAGGGAAAGTCATTGTCAGAGTCCCGCCGTGAGTCCTTGTCGAGCACGGGTTGGAACCCTAGCGTGTGACTCCAGACTTGGCTTCTTGTCCTGACTTAATCAGAAATGAAAAAGTAACCACTCCAATGACACCAGTTCAATGAAAGGACTTCAGAAATCTTGGGTTTACATAAGAGCTCTTGTGGAGTTCCTCTGACCCAGAGAAAATCCGGGCAGGGCTGGCTGGACCTCAGCCAAGAACTAGACACAAAGGGGACTCAGGAAACATTGAGTAATTAAGTAACTCTGTCTAGAGTGCTTTCCTCCTTTTGTCTAGCAGATAAACTCCTATTCATCCTTCAAAGCCCCAGCTCCCATGCCCTCCTCTGGAAAGCTTTCTCTGATACCCCAGGAAGAAGCTCAAAGCCCCTCCCTGGGCCTCCCAGTCCCCAGATGCTGCCTCTGCTCCAGCCCCGAACACAGGGTTTTGGGGTTATCTGTGTCTTGCTCACGAGCGCCTCAAGGAAGGACACTTGAACGCTGGGGCGTCTGCCCGTATTTTCTCTGGACCGGAACCTAAGGATTTAAATCCAGTCTGGGTGACCCGAGGCCCAGTTTCAGGGGTGGCAGGAGCCCTGCCCAGACCCCCACTCACCAGGAGAGGCATCCAACAGACACTGGCCACCACCATGATGCCCAAGAGCTGCGCCATCATCTCAACCTCGCAGTCCCGGGGGCGCTGCTGGGCGGCCTCCTGGCCGTGGTAGACATGGCAGAGCGTGGCCACGCTGACCGTGTTGAGCAGGAAGGACAGTCCCACCGAGAGGCTGCCGAGCATGGAGAACAGCAGGCCAAAGGCCACGTCCCCCGGCTCTGCGCCCAGCGTGAGGAAGCACCAGGAGCCGGGGTACTGGACGGAGTAGCGGCCCACGCCCAGCAGGGGCAGCAGGCCCAGCGCCAGCGCCGCGGCCCACACCAGCGCCACCGCGGCCCAGGCGCGGCGCTGCGAGGCGAACGGCGGGCGCGAGAAGGGCCGGGTGATGCCCAGGTAGCGCTCCGAGGCCATGGCGGCGCCCAGCAGCAGCGGGCACAGGCCGAAAAACACCATGACGACCCCCATGAAGTGGCAGAGGCGGCAGCTGGGGTCCACGGCGTGCCAGTCGAAGAGGGCCGCGTGCTGGGTCACCACGATGATGCCTGTGACCAGCAGCCCCAGGAAGTCGGTGAGGACGAGGCCGCAGAGGAAAGTGAGGAAGGAGGAGCGCGTGTACGAGCTCCCCTGCCGCGCGCCCGCCAGCACGCTCAGGGCCAGCAGGTTGGAGGCCAGGCCCACCACGCAGAAGGAGGCGGCGAACCAGGGGGAGGCGATCAGGCGCCGTTCCTCCAGCGTGATGTTCGTTGGCCGGAAACAGGGCCCCAGGGAGCTGTTGTTGGACGACATGGCGCTGGAGCCGAGGGGGACGGTCACCACCCCATCAGGCCTACGCTGCAGAGAGCTTTGGACACTGGCTTGGGCACACCTAGGAGGAAGAGAGATTTGCTTGTGATTAATTCTGCATTTTGTTTTAAGTGGCTCTGGCGAACTCCTACACAACCTTCAATGCCCCAGCTCAAATATCCCCTCTTTGAGGAAGCCTTTTTTGACTGATTTCACTCCCCACGCAGGGAATATTACTACTATTACTACTAATGCTGCTATTGCTACTAATATTAATACTATCTCCACCTCTGTCTTGCCTGAAACCCAATGACCCTCCAGGGCTGCCTCCTCTGGGATCCCCGGAGGACACCGGGAGGTATTTTTTTGGGTGCTGGGGAAGGGCTGGGGAGCCCTGGATTTGAACTCTTGCCCTGGTGCTCATTATGTGACCCCAGGGAAGTGGTTTCTACTCCCCGGGCCTCAGTTTTCCCATCATCGGCCCATCCAAGCCCTGGGCAGGCTGCAGAGCGCGAATAGATTTCAATTATCGCGAGACAGAAGTTCTGCGCTCCGGGATGCGGCCAGTGCGGGGAGGGCAGGCGGCTGGCGGCTGGCTGGTGGCCAAGGGTCCCCGCTTCTCTCCCCGGCTCCAAGGTAACTTCGCGGGTCCCGGTTTCTTGCGAATGCATGTGGGAGAGAGACCGCAGGGGGAGCCGTGGGTCCCTTATGTCCCTCCTCACACGTCGCAGTTGTGCGGATTCCTTGTTTTCCAAGTTTGTGGCGTTGCTTTTATAAAAAGAAATAAACCCTGCCACCCGGTTCCATTTTGGGAACAGAAAAACCCAGCTCCTTTGGAGCGACAGGTTCCCCGGGGACAGGTTATAAAGTGCAGCGGGGCACCCGCTACCGGTGTGGGCTGGGGGACTCCACGAGCCAGGCGGCCGGGCCCAACCGTCAGATGTGATGAGAGCGAAGTGAAAATAAAACGAGAACATTCCAAAACCCGCTCCCACTTCCCAGAAAGGACACACCTCGGGGGACGTCACGGTCCGGAGAGAGGCGGTGACTTGTCTGACTAAAGCCACCCAGGGGGCCGGGGCTGGCACCCCAGTCTCCTGCCTCTCGCCCTGGGCGCACCCCCAAGACACACTTGGGCGGGCAGAGAGGGGGCAGCAGGGCCCGGGGGCCGGTGGGACTCTGCAGTATCCGGGGACCGGGCAGTCAAAGCTCATCACGCTCCGGCTATGATCCCCATTTTGCAAAGGGGGGAAACCGAGGCACAGAGAGGTTAAGCAACTTGTCCAAGGTCCCGACGCCCCGGCTGGAGCGGATCTGAGATTAAACTCCCGCCTCCTCACGTAGAAACGTGACTAAATGCTTTTTCAAAAGCCCGCCAGGCAAGGGTCGGAATCCGATGACTTTTTTCTTTGAGAAGAGAGAATTTTCTTACAAGTTGGTCAGACTGGATTCGAACCCTGGCTTTGCCATGAGACTTCCCACTGACCTTGGCATCTCACGACCCTGCTCTGAGCCTCAGTTTCCCTTCCTGTAACACGGGGGTGATCCAATCTGCACGTAGCACTTAGCACACAGTAGGTGCTCAATTCGTGCTGCCCCCCAGGCGGCGCCCCGGGTGTGGCTGTTTTGGGGAAGCCAAGTGGGTGGCCGCCGGCTGTCACCCCCCATCTCATTAACTGGCGCCTTGGCCTGGCTGCTCCTCGTGGAGCCTCATAAATTATCCAGCTCCCAACGGCGTCCCTCCCAGGCGGACAGCCAAGGCCACTGCCAACTCAGTGGGGGCAGGGCCTCCAGTGGGGAAACTGAGGCACAGGGAGCAGAAGTGGGGGCTCTCCGTGGCCACCGGTGACAGTAGCCCTAGACTCCAGGGAGGGGGGTGCCCTTTGCTGTCTCAGACTTGGATCCCTGCTCTTGAATTCCCCCAGGACGGGGCGCTCCCTCCCTCGAGAGCCGGTACATGCTGTTTCTGAACATTCCTGGGAACTCAGGCTGTGCCCGCGGCCGCCGCCCCGGTCCTGGCCTCCGCCTGGCGTGAGCGCCATGAGGACTCCGTGCCCCCACCCTCGTGCGGGAGCGCTGTTCACCCGGGGACACGCATCCGGGACTCCCTCACGCCTCCCATGTCTCGGAACGAACTGCTGACCAGGAGCTCTAGGCCGGGGGGTGCTGCAAACTGGCACCGAGTCCCTCTGGCCACGGCTGGAGGTTTCCAGCCCCCCCCACCTCTCCCCGCCGTGGGCTCAGGTGGTAGTGGCTGTCTCAAGTTCCCCAGGCAGGGAGGCCAACAGGGGGGCCTGGCACAGCCTCTCCTCTCCTCTCTGGTTGGCCAGGACGATGGCAGGGTCCCCACCAAGGGAGGACCAGAAGTAGCCCCTGGGGAACTTGATCTCTGTGCCTCATGGGAGGGGTGGGCCCCAAGGCCCTTTGCTGATGCTGGAAAAACCCAGAATTCTGCGGCCTGAGAGCGGGGGGACATTTGCACTTTGAGGGTCCAGGGACCTGGAATTCTAACGAGCCCCCACTTCTGCAATCCAGAAAAGCCTCAAGATTCTAGAACTTGCTGGGCATGGTGGCTCACGCCTGTAATCCCAGGGCTTTAGGAGGCCGAAGCAGGAAGATCACTTGAGCCCAAGAGTTCAAGACGAGCCTGGACAACATAGCAAAACCCCGTCTCTACAAAAAATAAAAAATTAGCCGGGCATGGTGGCACATGCCTGTAGTCCCGGCTACCCAGGAGGCTGAGGCAGGAGGATTGCTTGAGCCCAGGAGTTGGAGGCTGCAGTGAGCCGTGATGACACTGCTGCACTCCAGCAGCCTGGGTGACCGAGTGGAACTCTGCCTCTGAAAAAAAAAAGAAAGAGAAGATTCTAGAATTCCAAGGGGGTGAGGTTCTGGAACTTGGGCGGGAATTTGGCTGGGTCCCGGGTTCCAGAAATCTCTGTCTTAGCTCCCTGCTTCCTTCTGGAGGGTGGACACTGGGTTTTCCTGCAACCCGACACTGCCCCGACTGGCCCAGACCCACTGGGTGAGACGGGAGACCCAGGGGGCCGTGTGCACGGCTCTGTGCACGGCCGTTCCTGGAGGCCTGGGCTCTGGGCTGGGCGCGGGCACCAGGCTGGGCTCCGGCCATGAACTTGGAATGTGCTCTTCGGTTCCCAAGCAGCAGGCCCGTCCCCCGCGCGAGCTTCCCCCTCCATCCGTCTCTCCACACCCCACCCCCCGCCTGCCTGTCCCCACAGCCTGGGCCTGCCCAGCCCCACCCAGGGCCGGCGATGGCCTCAGACAAGCCTGGACTCTCCAATCCCCAGTCTGCCCCTGCCAAGCTGGGGGCCCAGTCTCGCCCAGCCTCAGTTTCCCCCCGCTGTGAAACGGCGATCAGAACGGCGCCCACCAGCCCGCCAGCATTCTGGGTGCTCAGCCCAGGCCTGCCTGGCAGAGCCTCTGCCTCCGCGGCGGCCCTGTCCGCTGTGCCCTCCCCTCTGTGGGCGCGGCTGGTCTCCTGGCAGGGCACTCGGGGCGGTCAGGCAGGAGTTCTGACCGCGGCCCAGGCCACCGATGGCACCTTTTGACCTGAAACCAGAGAGACCTTAACGCCTGCAGCTGTGGACCCCTGTGCAGACGCCCACGCGGGCGAACACTCGACCCACCTTGAACTGCAGGGGCACTGTTGCCCCGGCACGCTCATGTTCTGGGAACTCTTCCTGTTTGTGACACCTGCAAGGTCCCCAGGGCAGAGGGTGCAGTGTGGGGGATCCCCAGCCAGCCAGACTCGGTTCCACCCTTGCTTGGGCCCCTGACTCATGTGGCCCCCTCTGAACCTCTGTTTCCTCTTCCGTACAGTGGGAGTCCTCAGAGTGATCACAACTCTTGTGGAGCGCACAAGAGTCACAATCATTCCACTGATGTGCACCAAGGGCAACCCCTGTGTGCGCACACACACACACACACACACACACGCACACACACAGACGCACACAGGTGGAGACACAGACCCAGACACCCAGGCAGACACCCAGGCAGAAACACAACAGACACAGACAAAGACAGATGGACACACACAGACACACAACAGCACACAGACACACACCGTCAGGGAGAGACACACAACCACACGCACAACCATCAGACACAGATGCAGACACGACACACACACGCAGACACACAAACCAACAGACCCGCACGCAGACGTGCTCACAGGGACACACGATGAGACACACACAGCTGCAGGGACACACTTGCTCCCAGCCACACCCAGTGCCTGGGCACCCTCCCCTGCCCTGCCTTGAGTCTCAGACCCCCCCATTCCCAGAGTGGCCCACAGGAGGCAGAGTGGCCCCACGCGGACCCAGAGACCCTGGATGCACAGGTCAGCCCGGGCCAGGCTCAGACCCGTGCGCACGGGTGCCCGGTACAGGCCACAGGATACACGCTGGGGACACACAGCACCTGGTCGCTGTCGCCGCCCACGCGGACACACCCACAGTAGGGCAGGGTCAGCGCGGAAGGCGGGCTCCTGTCCACACCGGCGCATCCTGCACCACTACGGCGGGGCGCAGTCCGCACCTGGGCGGACCCCAGCTGGCCGGACCCCCATCCGTGCGGACCTCACCTGGGCGGATCCGGCCGCGCGGGGTGTCTGGGCGCTGCAGTCTCGGAAGCGGAGCGGGCGGAGGGCGGGGAAGGGCGGGCCGGGCTCCCGGGGAATCCGCGGGGAAACCGAGTCACGGCCGGGGGCGGGCCGAGCAGAGGACCCTGGCACCGGCACGTTGGCGCGGGGGCCAGAGGGAGGGCGTGGCGGCAGAGGACGCCCCCGGGTCGCGGGGACCCGGCCTGGAGGGGTCCGCCGGGCCTCGACCTAGCCCGGGGTGGGGGCGGAGGGGGCCCCGCTCCGCGGCGCCGCTGGGTCTCTCGCGAGCCCTGTCTCTCTTTGTCTCTCGCTGTCTCTCGGTCCGTCTCTCATCGGCCCCGCCCCCGGCGCTGGCCACGCCCCTCAGGCGCGGGCCTGGCTGACTCGGTGAGTGGGGCCCCCGCGGGACACCCGCGGCCTCCTTGGGGGGGCTCCGTGGGACCCCGGGACCCCCAGGGCTGCGCTGGCCGGGGTGGGCAGGGACGCCTCCTCGGAGCCTCGGCCCCTCCGGCCGCCCCAGTCCCCGCCAGGCCCCTTCCCGGCCTCCTGTCGCGGCGGCGCCTCGTTCCCCGTCTGGGCAGCGCGCGGAGGGGCGGGCGGGTGGTGGGTCAGCTCCCTGGGCGCCAGGACCTGGCGCAGGGGACAGGGCTCCGAGCCCGTTAACCAGCGGGGCGGAGCCTGGCACACAGTAGGTGCTAAATAACTGCACGGCTGTGTTTGAGGCCCCCGCCAGGGGTGGGGTGGGAGCGCGGGGGTGTGGGGGGCTTCAGACTTTCCACCGGCCTTCATGGGGGCTCCGGGCTGAGGCTTTCCCCCAGCAGGTGAGCCCGGGGAGGGGTGAGGCCTTGCTGAGGGGGGGTCCTGGGAGGAGGAAGGGGGGGGTTGTAGGGGGCAGGCGAATGGACGAGGCCTGTCCCTGCAGGAATGATTCAGAAGGTGACGCCAGGGAGCCCAACGCAGGACTTGGGGACTTAGGACCAGGTCCTGGGCCAGATCGGCTTCCGACGACCTTGAGCCAGGCAGGGCCTTGTGTTAAGGGATGGAGAGGGACAGGACAGGCTGGCCTGGCCTCGACCCCACCCCACCCAGTCCCCTGGGCCTGAGAGGGCCGGTGAGTCCAGGCTCTGAGTGCAGGGGCGATGGGCTCCAGCCCTGGCCCTGCCCCCCCCCCCCCCCGCTGTGTCCGGAAGCCCCTTCCCCGGGTGCCCCACCCACCATCCTTCCGCCTCCAGGCCTCTACTCACACCCGGCTTCCCCTCTCCACAAAGCCCCTCCTCCTCTGTTTCATCCGATTGTCTTGAGTCCCTGAGCCATTTAACCCTAACTTCTCTCTTCCTTGGCAAGGAGGCTCCAACTCCTATGCGTCTGGCAAAGCCCTGGCTCCAAGGCCCCTTTCTTCTTGATCTAGGCCCCTGAAGCCTTCTTGATTTCCCAGACGGTCTTACTCCCTCCAACCCCTCTCTGTGTCACAGATCATGCGGTGGGACAGTTCTGAGTCCCAGGTAAGATTCGAAACCAGGCCTGCCTTTGAGGCTCCCCGAGGCTGGAGAAGAAGCTGGACACCAACTGTTCCAGCCCCCTGGGGGCAGGGCTAGGCCACAGGAAGTGCCGGGGGAGCCTAGAGGTGAGCTGGGAAGGCATGCTGCGGGGAGAGGGCATGGGAACTGGGGCTTTGTGGGATGAGGAGGAGTACCCCAGGTCTGGCCTACGAGGCAGTGGCAGGAGTTGCATGTGCAAGACTTTGGAGGTGAGAGAGAGAGTGAGTCTTGCTGAAAACTAACTACAAAGAGGGCAGATGTGGTGGGAAGAGGATGTGGGCCTGGGGCTCCAGATGGGGGGTGGGAGCTGGAGGAAGGCTGCTCTGTTCCCACTTCCTCTGTCCCTGGCCCTGAGATAACAAGGACAACGTCCTTTCTGGGAAAGAGCTTGGGTCGGGGTCAGAGAAGGACGCTTGACTCGCCTTTTAGTCTGAGCCTCACCACGTCTCTGCAAGGCAGCGGGTGGAGGTGCTTGTCTTGTAGATGGGGAAACTGAGGCCCAGAGGGAGGAGGATGCCAAGCCCACATGTGGGGTTTGAACATGTGCTCTGGGCTTCCCCCACCTCTGGGGCTGGTGGCTGGAGGTCTCCAGCCTTAGCCTGCCCTCCCTGCCCTGCTATGCACGTCCCAGCTCAGTGGCACAGCAGGCTCTGGTGGGAGGAGTCGTCAGGGGCTGGGGGGGCCAGATGGTGGGAGCAGAGGCCAGGCACAGGATGTGCCCCCCGTGGCTGTGGTTTCCGGCGGGGGCCAGGCAGGGAGTGTCTATTCTTAGATTTGGACACAGTCAAGGGCAGGAAGAAGCTAGAATGGGGGGTTGGGGGAGCTTCCGGGACACCCGGTGGGCCGCAGGCCAGGGTGGGGTCATGGGCGGCTGGCTAGGTGTGGTGCCTATCCCTGGCCCCCACTTCCCATCTGTGTGAGGAGTGTCCCTGACACTCAGCTCGGTGGCCCTGCCCAGCTCACACACCCTCCACGGCTCCCCTGTGCCCTGGGAAAGTCCAGTCCTTCGACCTGGGCACACCTGCTGCCCTCACCCCCTTCTCTGCCCAGCACCCTGCCCTGCCAGGTCCAGTGCCTGTGTCCCCTCCTCCAGGGAGCCTTCAGTGCCTTCCCTGCCCTAGCTCTGCCTCCCTCCAGACTGGGGGCTCCTGGCTACACACGTGCCCAACTTGGTGGATGGCCACCTTGGTCCTCCTGCCCCGAGCAGCTACTTCCCTTGGGGTCGATGCCCTGCTGGACTGCACAGGGGATGTGAGGAGGAGGAGCTGGGAGAACCCCTGCAGGGGCAGGTGGGGAAACTGAGGCTGGGACAGGGGTGGCAGTCTGGGAGGAAGGGTGCTCCACCTCGGAGAAACCCAGGTTCTAATCCTGGATTAGATGGGTGGAGCAGGTCAGGGGTCAATTGATAGAGGCTGCCCAGAGGATGCTAAGACTGCTCTGGAGATCTGCAGTCAACTAGTGATGTCTGCCAAGGGCAGGGCAGGGGATGGAAGTGCTCTGTGTGCTGCCACCCTCACATACCCACCTTCGTGTGTTGGGACAACGGGTGACACCCCACCTTGTGGGCAGGGAGGCAGCTAGGGGGTGGTGGGCACAGATGGAGGGGACCCAAGGACTAAACTCCCTAAGGGACCACTGTGACCTATTTTTGGGTGGCATGGTCATGTTTCTCAAAGGTCTTGGTTGTGTCAGTCCCTTGGCTGACAGATGTTCCGTGTTATACAGGACGCCAGCAACTAGGGTGGCGGGGCATGGGCCGCCAGGACTCCGCACTATCTTTGTAGCATTTCTATAAATCTAAAATTATTCTAAAATAAAATGTTTATTAAAAAAACATGCAATCTCACAAGGAGACCAATTTACTGAGAATAAAAGATGTCCCTCCAGCCCACCTAAAAAAGTTTTTTAGAGAAACAAAGTAAACTGTTCCAGAAGAGACTGGGCGCCTGGGTGGTCGTCTGGGAGCTGGTGACTGGTGGGGCCGGGAGGCGGCACTTCAAGGTTCCCTGGGGGTCGAAGGTTGGGGGTGTCTCCTCGTCAGACGCTGAAAGAAAGGAGCCCGCTGCTGCCTGCTGAGCGCTGGGGCTGCGGACACCGTGCGGCCCTAGGGGGCCCGGGAGGAGCACCACTGTCCTGATGTGGGCGGGAACTCGGGGTCGCTGGGGACGTCTAGGGAAGCCCCTCTCACCACCCTGCAACTGGCCGAGCTGTGGGGGCTCCTCTCCCCTCCAGGCCCTGTGCGCAGCGGGCCTTGGTCCTGTGACCTTGACAGAGGTGAGGACCTGGACGGTGGACGATAACGCGTCCTCCATACCCACCGGGGGTGGGGAGGGGCAGTCGCTGCAGAGCTTGGACGAACCCCGATGGAACGTGCTTGAGGAAGGGTCAGGTTCCCAGTGCTGCCGACTGAGTGGGAGCCCTGATCCCGCTGAACCTGCAGCTGCTGTCCCAAGGGCCCATTAATAACCCGAGAGGCGTCAGGGGTGGGACTTGGGTTTCCTGCCCCTCGCAAGCCAGGCACCACCATGTGCGGCCCTCTGCTCCCCGCTGCGTGGCGCCCGGCTCAGGGCAGGTACCTGCACGCCCAGACGCAGCGTGGGGTCTCGTCTGGAGGCAGCGGCCGGGACCCAGGTCTGGCTTCCTCCCCGCATGCACTCTGAGGGGCGGTGCAGCGGGTCTCAGGCCTCATTCGCCAGCCCGGGACCAAGAGGTCAGCGGCGGGGGGTCCCTCCTGCTCTGAAGATCCCCCCAGCGGCCCCGTATCTCTCTGAGTTAGGCTCTATGGGGACCCCCAGTTCAAAGAGGGGAAACTGAGGCCTGGTGAAGGGAGGTCTAGCCTGAGGTGGGCTGTGAACCTGGGCAGGCAGCGACCCCACAGCCCCTCAACCCGGCCCGGCACGACTCTGCAGCTGCAGCCCAGAGGGTGGCCCCGGAGTGCCCGCCAATTTCACTGAGCCCCCTTCACTGACGTCCCTGAGGGCACCTGCCTGTTGTCCCCTGGCGGCTGTCACCGCCGGTAGCGGTAGCGCTTAAAGTGGAACCAGAGCTGGAAGATGCCGTTGGCGAACTGGCAGCGGAAGCCATGGCGGTGCGAGTACTCCCACTCGCGGTTGACGATCTTGAAGGCGATGTCCTCGTAGGGCGGCCCCGCGTGGAAGCGCAGGATGGCGAAGTCCTTGTTGTCCGAGCAGGTCTCCAGGAAGTACTCGGGCGTGGAGCGCTTGTCGATGAGGTCGGGGTAGAAGATGTTGAACTTGTAGCCCTGCACGATCTTGGGCGGCGGGTTGTCGAAGTCGTAGTGCGTCTGGTTGTACTTGTTCCACTCGAAGCCCGTGTGCACGCGGTTGAAGAAGCGTGGCTTGCGCGGCCGGTACTTGTCCGCCCACAGGTAGGCCTTGCCCGTCAGCGGCATCTCCACGCTGAACTGCGCCTCGTCCTGGCCCATGCCCTCCTTGGCCCGCCGGAAGAAGATGTCCTCTGCGCTCTCGCTGGCGTCACCTGCGGGT